GGGGGGGGGGGGGGGGGTGGGGGGGGTGGGTGGGTCCTGAGGCGCGATGCATACTGGGATATTGCGGTGCTGCGCAGGGCATGCCGGGATATAGCGAGGTATGTGTGGAGCGAAGCATGCCGGGATATAACGAGGCTTAGTGGCGCGAGGCATGCCGGGATATAACGAGGCTTAGTGGCGCGAGGCATGCCGGGATATACCGAGGCAGGAATGGCGCGGGGCATGCCGGGATATACCGAGGCAGGAATGGCGCGGGGCATGCCGGGATATACCGAGGGAGCGATGGCGCGGGGCATGCCGGGATATACCGAGGCAGGAATGGCGCGGGGCATGCCGGGATATACCGAGGCAGGAATGGCGCGGGGCATGCCGGGATATACCGAGGCAGCGATGGCGCGGGGCATGCCGGGATATACCGAGGCAGGAATGGCGCGGGGCATGCCGGGATATAGCGAGTCAGAGATGGCGCGGGGCATGCCGGGATATACCGAGACGCGGGGGGCGGGTGCCGGGCCCCCACCGGGATCGCGGCCTCCGTTCGCTCCCCGAGCCCGCGGGTCCCGCTGCCATCCTGTGGTCCCTGGCGCCTCAGCACCGATCGCAAGCACCAGCCCGGGGGTGCCCGGCCTGCGGGGCCCACAGCGGGACGGATGTTTGGGGAACACTCGGGCACAGGGGGTCTCGGTGGCCGCGGATCCCCAGGCCCGGTCCCCGTGCTCGGGGGTCCCCAGGCTGACGGGACCGAGCCCCAGCGGTGCCCCGGGATCCCCTTCTGGGCTCGGGGATTCGCTTTTGTTGCTCAGGACTCCACGGCCCCCCGGCGGGGCGGTTTTACCCCCTGGGGCTCAGGACCCTCCGGCTTTAGGGGTTAATTTTGGGGTTCGTGCCCCGCCCCGCCTGTCCCTCGGCTCCAGGGTGAGGCCGCTCAGTCTCCGTTTTCTCTATTAAATCGTTCGAGGCGAGCACGGGAATTCTCGTTTCCAAGGGCGCCGGATGTGGCCGGGTTTCGCCCTTGTTTATTTTCGGGCTGTGAGCGCCGGTGTTGACCCGAGCAGCGGCACCTCGGGTCAGGCTGCCCCGGGCAGGGTGTCCCGGGCTGCCCGGGGCTGCCCCCGCTCCCCTCGGCCGCTCCTCAGCCAAAGTTCTGCCCCGTTTGTGCTGACTCGGCCCCAGAGTGCGGAAACGGCCCCTCGCCACACCTTCCCGTGCTGTCCCCGCTCCCGGGGCTGTGCCGAGCGCTGTCACCCCCGTGTCCCCTGTCCCGCTCCCGCATGGAGCTGCCGCTGGTCCTGCTGCTGCTGCTGCCCGCGGTCCTGCCCGCCCGGTGCTGCGGTGAGTGCGGCTCCGGCCCCCAAACCTGCCCCGGACCCCCCCGGCCGGGGCCTCGCCCTGAGCTCGGGGGGTCCCCGAGGAGCGGCGCTGGGGGTGATGAGCCCCATGTCCGGAGCCTCGGACGGCGCCTCGTGGCAGCTCTCGGTGACAAATTCTCCGGGGCTCAGTTCCCCCAACCCAACCCGTGTAACCCCTTCCCCTGCCCGTGCCCACCCCCCCAGGGGTCCCTGGGGACAGGGGTGTCACCCCAGCCCCCTGCCACCTCCTCGGGTTCTCTGTGCTCCTGCTCCATGTCACGTCTCTTCGTTCCTTCCTCTTTGTTTTGGTGGGAAATCCGGAGCTTAGGGGGTGTGGGGGGGACGCTGAGGCTTTGGGGTGCATGGAGGGGTGGGTGCCGGGCGTCGCTCCCCACCGCGGCCCCACACGGCTCTGGGGGGGCTGTGGAGCTGCGGGGCCGTGCCGGGGGGGACTCTCGGCCTTCTCGTTCCCCCTGACCTGCGCTGCCTCTCCCGGGCCGGGGCAGAGCCCCCGGAGGGCTCTGCGGGCGCCGTGCGGGCGCTGAGTGCGCGGCTGCTGGGGCTGGCGGGGGACCCCGGCCGGGACCCCGACCCCGCCGTGTACCTGGCCCTGCGCCTGGCCCGCGAGCACGACCCGCGCCTGGAGCAGCGCTACCTGGAGCGCCTGCAGGACACCTTCCAGCAGCCCTACGGCAGGTGGGTCCCGGGGGTCCCCCACGGGCCTTTGGGGCCGCCCCTGTGGCCCACGCTGACCCCCTGTCCCCGCAGGAGCCTGCAGGCCCGCGGCCGCTCCCGGTGGGACGCTGAGCACAGCACGTAGGTGTGGGTGTCCCGGGGTCCCCTCGGGGCAGGTGACAGCCCTGGCGGTGTCCTGGCAGTGACCGCTGCCTTGCAGGAGCGCGGCGGAGCCCCTGCAGACGGGGCGGCTGGCGCTGTACCTGCTGGGGCTGCAGGCCACCTGTCCCCCACCCAGTCCCCATCGCTCGCTGGTGACATGGCTCAAGTACCACCTGGAGGAGGACTGGACAGGTGAGAGCGTCCCTGCGGGGCGGGTTCCCGCCTGCACTTCCAGCTGTGAGGCACCGGCTCACCCCGGTGACACCGCCCGCTGTCCCCAGGCTCCCGGCGGCACGGCCACCCCCTCACCAGTTACTACCAGTACGGGCTGGGCGTGCTGGCGCTGTGTGTGCACCACAAGCGGGTGCGGGAGGAGGTGATCCGGCGGCTCTTGGCGGCCCAGCACCATGGAAGGCTCGGGCACAGTGGCAGTGCTGTGGGTAAGGACCCACGGGCACAGGTGGTGGCACCCCGGTGGCGTGTGACCCCGGGGTGACACCGGGGTGTCCCTGCAGACACCGAGGCCGTGGTGGCTCTGGCCTTCACCTGTCTGGAGCGGAGGAAGTTGGTGGGGACCGAGCTGGCGGCCGAGCTCCGGGCAGCCGCGCACGGGGCCAGCAGGAGCATGGCCGAGGCCCAGGGCCCCGACGGCATCATCGGCAACATCTACAGCACCCCATGGGCCCTGCAGGTGGGTGTCACCTGAGGGGACATCTGGGCTGCCACTGGCAATGGGCATGGTGGGAAGTGAGGCTGCAGATGTGGGGTGCAAGTGTGGAGTACAGGTGCAGATGTGGGGTGCAGGTGTGGAGTACAGGTGCAGATGTGGGGTGCAGGTGTGGAGTACAGGTGCAGATGTGGGGTGCAGGTGCAGATGTGGGGTGCAGACGTAGATGTGAGTGCCCAGGCAGGGGCAGCTGCCCCAGGGCAGGTGATGCTCAGCAGTGCAGTGCCCAGGTAACCAACCCTCCTTCCTCTTCCCACCACCTCCATCCCTCCCTGTCCCAGGTGTTCCTGGCCACAGGTGCGTGCCAGACGGAGCCAGCGTTTGTCCAGGCCATGTCTTCACTGCTGGAGAACCTGGAAGCCTTCGGCACCGCCGCCACCATGGCCCAGGTGCTGCCGGTGCTGCACGGCCACTCCTACCTGGACATCGCCTCCATGCACTGCCAGGAGGAGCCAGGTGGGAGCCGGGGGCAACAGGACTGGGGTCAGCGCTGGTGTCAGCACAGTGGCTGGGTGTCACCAGTGCTGTGGTGGCTTCTCGCAGACACGCTGACTCCCCTGGACATGGAGCCCCTGGCTGAGGTGCCGGGGAACAAGACGGTGCAGCTGGTGGTGGAGTGTCCCCTGCCCTGGTGCTACGACCTCCGGCTCTACGACCGCCCCGTGCTCGTGCCCGCCGCCGCCTCCCTCCTGGGCGTGCTCCAGGCGGCTGCTGCGCTGGAACCCCATGACTTCAGGTACGTGGGGGTCACGCTGTGGTGGCCGTGTGTCCTGCACCTGTGCCCTGCACCGGGCTCGCCCTGGTTCCCACCACACAGCTCCCTCGGGAGCAGCTCTGTACAGCAGTGCCGAGGCCGGACCCTCACCCCCCTGACCCCACTGTCCCACCCCCCAGGTTCCACACTCAGGACACCCCCCAGGGCCCCTTCCTGACCCAGGTGCTGGGACTGGAGGCCCGGCAGGAGAAGCGGAACTACTGGCAGCTCCTGACCGCACCCAACACCCCCCTGCAGATGGGTGAGTGGTGGGTGGGGGCTCCTGGGGAGGTGGCAGAGGTCCCCCACAACTCCTTGGCTGCTGCCTCACCCCAAACCATTGTCCCTTTGTCCACAGGTATCGCTGACTACAGACCCCAAGATGGGGAGACCCTCATCCTGCGCCTCAGCGAGTGGTAGAGGGTGGGGGGTGATGGCAATGAAACACCCACAGTGGCACAGGACCTTCTGGCTGCCTGCCTCCTGCTTTCCGTGGGCCAGCCCCCCAAACCTGCCAGGGGCAGGAGGAGGGGACACACACGATGCCCTGTGTCCTACAGGTGCAGTGGGACCGGAGGACCAAAACCAGCAGCTCCTCCAGTCCCGGTCCCACGTGGGAATGGGGCAGGCAGCTGCTGGGAGCAGCCGTTTTTGGGGTGTCCAAAGCCTTTTTGGGACGGCCAAAGATTTGGGGAGTCTGAGTCGGTGCTGTTCATCCTCAGCAAGGTGCCAGATGGGATCCTCCTCCTCTGTAACCCTCTGGGGGGTACTGAGCCCCCACTGTCCCAGGGGGTCCAGGGGACCGCGCTGCCCGAGGGGGACCCACGGGTGTGCCCAAATCTGCGTGATTCCCCCGGGAGTTTAGTCCGGTCCCCAAAATCACCGGGGCAGAGGCGGTTTGGGGCCGGGAGCCGGGCGGGGGCTTGGGGGCGGCCCCGCTGTCCGCACGGAGCCGGCGCAGGTCGGTGACAGCCGGGTGTGTTCCCGGTGCCCGTCGTGCCCCGCCCGCCCGGCAGTGACGCGCTGGCCTCGCCGGGAGGAGCCTCCGCCCTCCGCTCCCGCCATCACCAAACTTTGCGCCGGCCCCGGTCGCCTCCTCTCCGGCACATGGCCCCGCCACCGCGGCGCTGAGCGCCGGCAGCAGCCCCGGCCGGAGCGCGCAGGGAGCGGGGACAGCGCGGCCGCCACCGCGCCAGCGCTGCCGCCTCCGGCACCCATCGCGGGGCTCTCGGGAGGACGGGGCAGAGCGGCGAGGGGCGGCCGGAGGCAGCGGAGCCGGTGCCCATGTGCCCGCCGTCGCGGCGGGGCGATGAGGCCGCGATGAGCGCGGCGGGCGGGGGCACCGTGCGGCCCTGGAAGCCCGACCCGGGACAGGCGGGCGGGGGGCGGCCGGGACCGGCGCTGCCGCTCACCCTCAGCGTGCTGGCCTGGCTGGGCACCGGCACCACCATGGCCGGCCTCAACAAGTGGATCTTCGCGGCGCACGGGTTCCGCTACCCGCTGCTGCTGTCGGCGCTGCACATGCTGTCCGGCGTGGCCGTGGGTTACCCGCTGGGCTGGGCGCGGGCACCGGGCCCCCGGCCCCGCGCCAGGATCTACCTGCTCAGCCTCACCTTCTGCACCAGCGTGGCCCTGGGCAACCTGGGCCTGAGCTACGTGCAGCTGGACGTGGCACAGGCCGTGGCCACCACCACGCCGCTGGTGACGCTGGTGCTGGGGGTGCTGGGGGGCCGGCGGCCGCACCCGCTGCAGTTCTGGGCCATGGGGCCGGTGTGTGCCGGGGCCGCCTGCAGCATCGCCGGCGGGCTCTGCTTCTCCCAGCCCGGCTGCGGCTTCCTCCTGGCCGCCACCGTGCTCCGCGCCCTCAAGTCCATCCAGCAGAGTAAGTGCCGCTTGTCCCTGTCCCTCTCCTGCATGTCTGCCTGCCCCTGGCACGGCCCCTGCGCAGAGGTGCTGGTGTCACCTCGGTGCCACCCCCTGCTCGGGGTTCTCCCTGCTCGCTCTGCTGCCCACTGTGCACCCTGGTGTCGCCCCAGCCCTAATGCCACCCCACCCTATCGCTGGTGTCACCCCGGTGCCACCTTTGTGCTGGTGACACTCCTTGTCCACCCTGGCCGCAGTGTCACCCCAGCAGTGGTGGCACCCTGGCTCCCAGTTTCACCCCAGCCCCGGTGCCACCCCCTGTCCCTGTTGGCCCTGGTGCCACCCCTTGCTCACTCCTGTTTCTGGTGCCACCCCACAGCCACCCTTGCCTCTCTCAGGGCTGTGTTGTGCTTGTGGCCCTGAGGTGACATGACTGTAGTTTGTCATTGATGACACCTTTAGTGTCCCTGTGCTGTCCCTGTGCCATGGGGAGTGGAAGTGCCCTAGCTTGGCACAGGGTCACCCAGGCTGTCCCATCCCTGTGGGCTGCTGGACTCCCTGTGAGTCCCCCCTTCCTGGGGACTCTGGTGGCACTCGGGCCATGGTGTCCTTGGCGGAGGGCAGCGAGGAGCCAGCTGGAATGCTTTTGGCTGGGAAAGGAGCGTTTCCTCCGGAGCCTGTGACTGGGACAGTGTGGGGATGGGCTCTGGCTTGGGGCCCTGTGCCCACCCCAAGGTCCCCGTGGCTGTACTGGGGTGCTGTGGCCCCCCAAGGGACGCCACTGGTCATTGTGCCACTGCCCTGCCACCATGTCCCTGGTGGGACATGGACAGTGGCCCTGGGGAGGGCAGGGACATGTCTGTGTGTGGCACCAGCCCTGCTGTGCCTGCTGTCCCCACTGTCCTCAGATGACCTGGAGGGGGGGACATGGGGACAAATGCTCCAAACCAGGCTGGGAAAGCTGCCCTGTGCAACCCTCCCTGTGGCACTCTGACCCCAAACACAGGCACCCAGAGTGGGACACCCCTGAAGCAAGGCACCCCTAAACCAAGGAATCCCAGAAATGAAGGACTCCTGAACAGAGACACATCCAAACCAGGGAACCTCTTGAGTGAAGAAAATTAGGAAATTAAGATTTTGACTAGAATAAGAGTAACTTAAGGAAATTCAAAGTAAAAGAAAAATATAAAAGAGATAAGAGCAATGTTAGTAGTTAATTATTACTAGGTGTAGTTAGGCTATACACCTGCTTGCAGAAGGAATACATAGCGATTGCCAAGATGAAATGAATAGACCAAGGATATATATATTTTTCTGCTTGTATTAAACCTTAATTAGAATAAGACCCTATATCACTTACTTGTCCTAAATTGTGTTTATAGAAGGAGACAAGAAAAATAGACTATTGTGGAAAGGAACTGTGGGCACACCTGCAGGCAGGAAATCTGAACTATGTCCCAGGAGGAGCAGGAGAGCTGCCAACAGGGCACAGTTGAAAAGTTCAAGCCCGAAGAAGAAGATTTCATTAAAAAGGACCCCAGACCCATTTCAAAAGAAGAACTGAGCATGCCCAGAGGGGCGTGAAGCTCATCGCCATACGAGGCGAGAACAGGCGGGGTTAGACAATGAATATGTATAGTGCATTGTGTCATCTATGCATATGTAATTTAGGGAATAAATAGGGAATGAGGGGCAGTGGTGGGGCGTGTCCGTCTCTGAGAGGTGACTCCACACGGCCGTAGTAAGACACATACCCTCCCTGACTTTAAATAGGCCTTTGTCTGTGATTTTACTGCTTCGCTCTAAACTGGGACCCCCGGCCCATGGAAGGAACAGCCCCCCATCATTTTCCCCTTCCCAGTGACATTTGGGATTTCTTTACTGCTTTGTGTCCTGTTGGTGGCTGTTCCTGTGGGATGTGCCACTGACTGTCCCCTGTCCCCCCAGGTGTGCTGCTGCAGGAGGACCGTCTGGACGCGCTGTCGCTGCTCGGCCTGACATCCCTGCCCAGCTTCGTGCTGCTGTTCGGGGCGGCCGTGGCGCTGGAGCTGGGTCCCTCGTGGCAGGGCGTCCTTCGTCCCGACGCCGCGCTCTGGGGCTGCGTCCTGCTCAGCTGCCTGGGCTCCGTCCTCTACAACCTGGCCACCTCCTGCCTCCTGTCCCTCACCTCGGCCCTCACGCTGCACCTCCTGGGCAGCCTCACCGTGGTGGGCAACTTGCTGCTGTCGTGGCTGCTGTTCGGCACGCAGCTGGGCGCGCTGGGCTACGCCGGCGTGGCGCTGACGCTGGCCGGGATGGTGCTGTACCACCAGCCCCGGCTCCTGGCCGCCTGCTGGGGCCTGCGTGGGCACCTGCGGCACGAGTAGGGACCCGCGGGGGACTGGGGGCCAGGAGGGCTCTGGGGAATGCTGTGCACGTGTGTGGTGGTGTGTGTGAGCTGCACACACTGCTCCTGTGTGTGTGTGAGCTGCACACACTGTGTCTGTGTGTGTGTGAGCTGCACACCCTGTGTCTGTGTGTGTGTGAGCTGCACACACTGCTCTTGTGTGTGTCTGTGTGTGTGTGAGCCTGCACACACTGTGTCTGTGTGTGTGAGCCTGCACACCCTGTGTCTGTGTGTGTGCTGGTGTGTGTGAGCCTGCACACCCTGTGACTGTGCCGGTGTGTACCGGTGTGTGTGTCTGTGCCGGTGTGTGCCGGTGTGTGTGTCTGTGCCGGTGTGTACCGGTGTGTGTGACTGTGCTGGTGTGCAGGGCTCCATGCACACACAGGTGCTGAGGTGCACACGTGTGTCGGTGTGCATGGCTGTGTGCACCTGTGTGCCCTGATGTGAGTGTGCACGTCCTGCTTTGCGCAGTGTCTGTGTGTGCTGGTGTGCACAGCCCTGTGCATGTGGATGTGCTGGTGTGCACGTGTTGTGTGCGCTGCTGTGTGTACGTGTGTCGAATTGCACACTCGGGTGTGAGTGGGTCTGAGCACAGCTCTGTGCTTGTAGGTGTGCACAGGCTCTGCAGGTGTGAGCAGGGCTCTGTGTGGGACGTGTGTGTTGATGTGTGTGACGCTGCACACATTGGTGTGCACAGGCTCTATGTTCAAGCAGGTCTCGTGCTTGTAGGCACGTGTGTATTGCTACAGACTGTCCACAGTTGAGTGTGTGACACACGTGCTGCTGTGCACGGCTCCGTGTGTGTGTGCAGGTGTGTGCTGCTGGCAGGTACCGCTGTGCACAGGGGCTCTGTGCAGGTGAGCAGGTTCCTGTGTGTGTGCACAGGGCACACCCAGTGACTGGCTCTGGATACACAGCTGTGTGTGCCCAGCTCCTCCGTGCATCCAGCTGCTGTGTCACCTGGGCAAACAGCCGTGTGTGTGTGTGTGTGTGTGTGTGTGTCACTACTGAGCTCTGCTGGCTGGAGTGGCCCCTGGCTCTCTGTGTACACTCGGTTCTTGTGGCTGAACCGAACGCCCAGGACAGGGCAGGCGCGTGTCCCCTCCTGTCCCATCCCCACCGTGTTGTGACAATCCCACAGGGCTGCCGGTGCTGCTGCCAGTGTCTTTTTCTCCAGCACGCCCCTCAGCCCCCTCTATCCCCATCCCTCCCAGCTCGCTGCAGACTGGCATCCGTGGCAGAGATGGTGAGAGCCCAGCCGAGGGGACGGGAGCAGCCTGGGCCAGCTGCCATCACTCCAGGACAGTGCTGGGCTGTGACACAGAACATGCTGACCGTGGCAAAGGGACAGCCCAGTGTGTGTGTGCCTGGCACCACTGCTGGGCTCCGTGGTGGCCGTTGTCACACTTGTATCTCCACGCCGGGGCCCAAGGACCCAGCTCCGATTGCACTTGTCCCAAAATAAAGCTCTATTTTTGTTGTACTCCACCCTCGGTTCCCAGT